AGATACAGCTTACGCTCTAAGCTTTTAAATAAAACATAAAACTTTTAAAGAAATATGCTATAGCTATGTGCAGAGTTCTATAAAAAATAATAAATAACTACAGCACTAGATAACCTTTATAAGCTAATTCTACAGCTAAATTATAGAGGCTAGGCAATAAAAAGGAGCAGGTAATTGTTAAGACTATACTTAAGCTATATACGCAAGGAATTTCCCTTTAGATAGCATTTATAGCTAATATAGCTAATTCTTTACGCGCTAAGCGTAATCTAGGCTATGTTTACATAAACTAGCCTAGTACGTTTATAAAGCGTTATTTAGAGCTTAAAGTAACATTTAAGCGTAAGTACAACTATAAGAGAGCCCTCTGTAAGAGTCCTAGGGTAATTTAGGGCAGGTTTAGCCTTGTAGAGAATATTAAAGCTAAGTATAGCATCTAGGATAATAACACGTATAACTTTAGTAAGATAGAGTTTATAATTAGCTAAATATCTCTTAACTATACTTGCGCTTAAAACTTTACTTTAAGCTTTAAATAACGCTTTATAAACATACTAGGCTAGTTTATGTAAACATAGCCTAGATTACGCTTAGCGCGTAAAGAATTAGCTATATTAGCTATAAATGCTATCTAAGAGAAAATTCCTTGCGCATATAGCTTAAGTATAGTCTTAACAATCACCTGCTCCTTTTTATTGCCTAGCCTTTATAATTTAGCTGTAGAATTAGCTTATAAAGGTTATCTAGCGCTGTAGTTATTTATTATCTTTTATAAAACTCTGCACATAGCTATAGCATATTTCTTTAAGAGTTTTATGTCTTATTTAAAAGCTTAGAGCGTAAGCTGTATCTAACGTTTTTTTAGCGCGTCTAAGTAGTGTTATAGGGAATGCATTAGTGTAGGAAGGGTAGTTTAGTAGGGTCTTAGCAAAAGTAAGCAACTCAGGTGTGTGAGCAACTCGCCTATAAAGTACGTTATTACTTTTTTTTATCTATAATGTTATATTTAACTTTAGCTATGCGCTATATAATGTTAAATGTAAGGTAGTTATTACTAATATTTATTTAGTAAAGCATAACTATGTAATAACTTAGGTAGTTATGTTATAGACTACATTTCTAGCATTTGCATTTCTAGAACTGTCTAGAGAGCTCTCTTACTAAAGTACTAGGGGTCTAGTCTTAGAAAGGGAACTGTTTTTCTTTTTTCTAGACATTTATAATGTATCCTTAGATCTAAGTTTCTTCTTTATATCTCTTAAAAATTATAAGGTCCTGCAACACTATGTCTAGTCTACTAAAGTCTTAAATAACTACCTTCTAATATACTTTAAGGCAGTTATTTAAAAAATAGTTTTCTTTATATTACTAGTAAAGTCTATTCTTTAATCTTTCTAATATTTTCTTATCTATAAGGCTGTATTTAGTAGTAATAGCTTTTATTGTTGTAGTAGTATTTTTATTCTCCTCTTTTTAGAAGTCTAGGCAGTTTTAGCAGAAATGTCCTACTTTTTTATAGTTTAGGCAGGCCTTATCTTCTAACTACTTTTATTATTCTTTTATTAAAGGCAGCCTATTATGTCTTAGGACTTAGTTTTTCTTTAAAGAGAGGCTTTATATATGTTTTGTGTAACTAAGGTCTATTAGTTTTTTATTATACTATAAAGTTTTTTTTTTCTTTAGAACAAACTCTAGCTTCTAGAGAGTTCCCTTTTATTACTTTTCTCTTTTACGCTTTTTATAATAGTTGTTATAAGTTATTACTTTTATAATGTAGTTGTCTAGTCTAGTTAGCTTGTTAACATGCATAAATTTATTTTTTACTTTATTATTTAGCCTATTATAAAACATATAGCATAGGGCCTTCTAGTTGTTCTATCTACAGATAGCTAGTTATTTTCTAAAGTGTGCTGCGTAGTTTTAGACTATGCTGTTGCTCTGCCTTATAGTGTTTAGTTTATTAGCAGTAATTTTTTTTTTGTCTAGAGTTTTATAGATAGCTGTTAAGGCTACTTTAAAGTTTTTAACATTACTAAACACTTTCTTTATCTTAAAGTTAAGTGCTGCTTTATTAGCTCTATAATCTATTTAATTATCTATGTGTAGTTAAAACTAGATTATAAAAAGGCCTTTTAAGTGTAATCTTATCTAGGATATTATTTTTATGTTAGTTTAAAATGCTCTTTTATTATATTACATGTAAAAGTAGCATTTTATAAAAAATAGGTAAAGGTTCTTTAGCAATTCTTTAAAAGGCTTTAAAAGGGCTAGTTTTAAAGTCTTTTTTACTATAACACTTACTTTCTTAGTAGAAATGTTCTAGATTTTTGCTAGCTTTACTTATAGTTTATGTATTTAATAAGCTTAGTAGCTTTCTAAAAGCTTAAAAGTTTAAAAAAGTTTTATAACTTTATTACTTTTTAGTAAAAGTTAGTAATTTTTTATTTAAGTTTTAGTAGTTTACTAACCTTATTGCTAATCTGCTAGAGCTTTTTAATGTTGTCCTAAATTACATTAATCTGTTCTACTAGGACAGCTTTACTTTAAGTAGGGACTTTTATAGATCCTAATAGCGCAGTATAGGCTATGTTAGAATCTAGGTTGTGTTAAAAGGTATCTATACTTTTTAAAAAAGATAGTGTTTAATGTTATAATCTTTGCTTTATAAAAGCACTTAGGTCTTATAATATTCTAAAAGGGGGAGTTAGACAGGTAGTAGAGGCTAACTAGTAGGGTGTACAGTCCTACGTACAGGCTATTAGGCTATTAGAGGAGAGTAGGGTGACTAGATCATAGTTTGCCCTATATGCGGCAGTAGAAAGGCTAGGGTTAAACAGTCCTGTTAGACAGAATTAGAGGTATATATAGTGTAAGATATATAAATAGTATTATAGCTTTTTAGAAAGCTAAATGCTACTTAGTTTATATAAAAAATAGACTAAACATTAAACACACCTTCTAAAAGTTGTTTAATGTAGGAACTATATACATGTGCTAGGTGTGCTAAGACAAGCTTAAGTAAGTTCCCTAAGTTTAGCTATGCTAGCTGCGCTACTAACTTCTTTAGACTTACTAAACTTGCTAAGGCTTACTCTAGGGCTTGTGTCCTGCCTTCCTATTAGATGACGCATTCCTCTGTTATCGCGGGCAGCTGCGCTGCCTCTGTGTCCTCCGACTGGTCGATAAGCGGGCCCTGTCCCAATCCAGCTAGATTGTGGAGCACTGCTGGTGGAGTTACGCTGGTCCAACCGTAGACCGTAACATTTATAAAGTATAAGTACTTTATTATTACTCTTACTAGTTTATAGTTAATTAAATTAACTACTAATTAGTGTTAAATAGGCTCTAATAGCTAGCTGCTTATAGTATAAGCACTTAAGTAGTAAAAGTAAGAGTAGTGTATAGTATACATAGTGTATAAAGTAGGTAAAGTAAAGGCAACATGTTTTTAGTTCTATTACTCTTATTTTTCCTTTATATAGAGGAAAAGGGGGATATTTAGATGTTTGTGCACAGAGGTTCGCGCACAAGCATTATGTGACATAGATACGTGGTCCTGCTTGTGCGCGATCGCTTGTATCCAGACCGTGACGCTGCTGCTGCGTACAGACAGTAGGCATTATTTAAGTGCTTCTTAGCCTAGGTATTTTATATATACTTTAAAAAAGTTACTTTACATAAAAATAGCATAAATAGGCTAGGTAAAGCTATGTAGGCCTTTTCTAAGTGTTAAGATAAAGCAGCATAATATATCTAAGTAGTAAAACAGCTAGATAAAGTATATAAAAATAAGGCTTATAAAAATAAAGCCTATAAAGTAGTAGCATGCTAAAATAACTATGTTATTAATTAAAATAAAAATAAAAATATTATAGTAGGTAAAAAAATAATATAAATAGCATAGTTACTAAATTTATTAAAAAATTACTAATAAAATAAGTAATAATAGCATTCTTTACATTAATTTCTAAACATAAGCTTTTTAGCTTTTAGTAACCTACCTTTAACTACCTAAAACTACTAAAAATTTTATATAACTACTATAAACAGTTAGTACAGCAGCCTTATGTATAGTACAGTATACTAAGTAGACGCCCTGTACATACGTACGTGACCAAAATCAGTGTACTGCAGTACTGTACTATTAGGTGTACTAACGGTTGGACACACTGGCAGGTATGGCGGTTGCATGGTTGCTCCTGAATCTCCACAGCACGGCCGTAGAAGATTCGGAGAAATTCGTCCAGCAAATGCGTCAAGAATGCAACCAAGTGCTGTAGGAAACTCTCAAAGGATACTAGACTCGAGACGCTGTATCTAAACTGACGTTGGTAGATTCCGCAATGGGAGTCTATGCGCCATTCGGATTTTGGTGCGTTGGCACTTCCGCGTCGTGTTAGTCTTGAGCTTTGCATCTTGAACAGAAAGGGGAGGAAGACTCGCGATATGATACATAGGTCTCGGCACAAACTGGCACCCCCATCTCGGGAATCAAAATACCTCAAGGTATCCATATGGAAGTCCCATTCACAACATCCACATCGACGCCGACTTCTACCCCAATCCAACATCTTTCCAACCCTTTCGATTCGCTTCCGCTTCCATCACCAATATCCCTTCCGAAGGCCTCCGCTCATCTTCCAAATCTAATGTTAACACCCCCAAGCCGCCCGTTACATGGATGAAACTTTCTCGGATTCGGGTATAGGAAAAACGGTTGCCCTAGCAGGTTCTTTCAAGCCTGTTTGATGAAGACTATAATGGCTTATATCCTCCACCATTTCGAGGTGGAGCATATCCCAGAAAGGTCGAAAGATGTATTGGTGATGGAGGTTCAAATTACTGGCGATGATGCCACTATTCGAAATAGTAGGTCGTGATAAAGTGATGGAATGGTCCTGCAATTCGTTACCAATTAATTCACTACTTTTGCTTAGCACCCGTTAAAGTATGCTAGCACAGAACGAAACGATGTGCCTAAGTCGACAAAATAACGCGCTCTATGACCCCCGCTCTCCACCCTCACTAGTAACCACAACAGTACTCTCCTTCAAGATATATCTCTGACTCTCCCCATCACTCAACTCCTCCCAATTTCTCCGAGTCCCCTCAATCTCGGTACTCACACCTGGTATTACATTCCTCCTCGCACTCCCCTTTAGAACTTCTAGTCGATGGGAAAGTTTCGGGGTGACGGGCGTCTTGCTCTTATCACCGGACGAAAAGTTAGATAGGAAGGGAATATGTTTAATAATAGGGCGGAGTGTGGCGAGCGACCCTGCAGTGATGCCGATTCCAGATTCAGTAATGGACCAGATGCCGATGGGTGCGATGTGGTAGAGATAGTCTTCTCCGATAGTGTAGGAGGGGAGAAATTTTAGACGCACGAGGGTGGCTGTTGAGGCACTGTGCGGAACTGTAAGCACTACTCTGTCTCGCATCGGGAAAGAAGGGGCGGAAAAGGGTGGGAGGGGAAGAGAAAGACTTACACAACACCCAGAGCTAACACTACCCCCACGCTTGCCTTTACCCTCCACTTCAGCTGAACACCCCACAAGATGAACGCCGGTAGAATCGCGCAAGTCCAGTCCGTGAGAATTGACACTGCGCTTATGAAATACGAAACGCCCGTGATCACGCTCGTAGGTGCACACGTCCCCTTTCTCTTGTCCCACGTTGCCGAAATCGGTTTGCATTGCGCGAGGACAACGATGTCGGTTGTAAGAGCAGCGAATAAGGACAGGACGATAACCATGTATAGCAGGATGCGATAGGTACGTTGAAGGGTTATACGCAAAAGGGCTACGCAGATGGAGGATTTAATTGGGACCGTTGAGGCGACGTAGAAGAGTTGGAAGAACATGAACCACTGTCCTTGATCAGCACTATTTGAACAGTCATTTAGCAGGGACTGACTTTTGCAGCATCTCGCATCTGAGCCTCACTCAATCTTTCTACGTGGGTGCCCACGCCTTTCAAAGCTGCAAGAAGTGTCGATATGCAAGCAATGGTATAGAAAACCTATCACGCATTAGAGAGTGAAAGATGTCCGCAGATAAATCAGCATCGTCGTACCAACCCAGAGCACATCAGCCAGTCATCCGTTCCAAATGCTTTGATCTTGATCCGCACAAATATCCTCAGAATCATAGTAATATACGCCAACACAAGAAGTGCAATGGATACTACAAAAAGTGAAAGTCCAGGGCCTTTCAATTCAAGTGTGCCATTGCGACGAGAACTCCTGGGCGGTGGAGGAGAGCCCATTGGCGGAAACAAAATACTGAATGAAAGACAATTTTCAAATTATTGAGGATCAATTTTCAAGAAAGACTTCAGCGAACAAACTCCTTCACTTTAGACTTTCGAGGGTCTAGCCAAGCCTATGGGAATCGAAGAACCACATTCAAGCAAAGGATACCGCAAGGCCCAAGTCATGCTCAACTCCTATCTAGAACCCCGAAACTAGGGACCAGAACACTCGAGGGCAGCCTGCGGAGAGACCGGACATCTCAGAAACCATGCATCCTTGACCTTATCATGCATGCGAGTCAAATAGTTCAACTTCCCCGAACTCCATCAGATCCATCACTCCAGATCACTAGCTTGATGATTGATGGAGGGAAATCGCGTGCAGACGATGCAAAGTCTAAATGGCGACATGAGACTACCGAAACTGGAACGAGTCAGGTCGCGGGATGGAAATCGGCCCACTATGATGGTGGATGCCCTGTGCTTGTCCAGTTCCGTATTTTCCAGCAAAGGTATGTAATTGACGTTCAATAAATCACGGCTGAACACGAGAACTGGGCGTAAGTTAGACGAGACCTTGGTGTTTCGGAATGTTTGGAGATAAGGCTGAAGCGCTGTCGGCCCCGTACCCAATACCAAGCCTTCCAACGACCTGAATCACGATGAACGTTGGCCACTCTACGGATTACAAACTGACGAGACATATGCATATGAGAAGAGTAGCTCTCTTGACTACCTCCAAGGCCTTAGCTTTACAAACCCTTCCAGCTCGAAAATGCTGCATCACCCTTTTTTGTGATGCCCTCCTGCATTGATGTTGGCCACCCTGTTACGTGTACGTTGTTTCGCTACCAGGATACCCCGCGCTGTAAACAACTATAAAGTTTGTTGACAGCAACCTGAAGCGGAGCCCGATGGGTTGACCACGAAGTGAGCAGTCCTTTTCATTTGCGCCCAACGATAATGTGGCGTTCCGTACGACACACCGAGCCCGACGCCACCACGGGATGATCTCAACAACAACTGAGAGTGACTTATGAAGCAGAGGAAGTTCCAGGAAGGGGATCTGTAAAAGCCGGCTCCTCCTCCACTGTCAGAAGTGGATTCTAATACTTGCGACAAATGCTGAGAAACTGGATGCAATCCGGGTCCTCTCCTTAATCCTAGCGAGAGGTTTAACAACTCAAATCTGTCCTGTGAACAGCCATGAGAAGGCGCTAACATGCAATAATAATCCAAGTTTTCTAAACATCTGCTTACTACATGTTCGCACCAATAATAGAGCATGATGTATATTGTCGTGTTAGGGGAACGGAGACAATCTTGGTAGAACATGCTATCTTAAGTACAATCCAATTCACAACAGACATGAATATTTCCCTCCTGCTCTCCTTACCTCTAATAGGGGATTCATTAAATTTAATACACTCTAGTCATGTTTCACAATATTTGATAACGTGGGGTAATAGTACATTGAGACTGTAGGTAGTACTTTTACTTCTGAACAACCTGAACCATCTCAAAGCGCAGCGCAGCTAATTATTGTTGCGCTGAAATCTGCCGCATGTAGCTACCTCAGGAAGTGCCCAACTGTGAGAGCACTGTGAAGCAGGAAGCATGAAGCGCAGAAGAGGGTAAAGGAGAGTATTAATAGACGAATCCTTAAGGAGACTTAGGGGTTTGTGAGAGGATATATATATACTAGGGCACGTGGCGGGACTTCATGTGCTTAGGCCGGGCTAAGGGCTCTCTAGGGAGAGTCTGAGGCATGTCTAAGTTAACTATAACATGGCCCCCCTTCTTCTACAGGTTGCCTTTAATTCTATAATTAGATAAGTAGAATATTATAGTAATTTAGACTAGCCTAAGGTAAACCTACAGTAGAGACTATGTAAGTTACACCTAAGTAGTACTTATTACTAGTAACTAAACTTTAGAAAACTTTAGTAAGAAAAAACTATATTTAAAAAAGTAAAACTAAGTAATTTAAAATACTATTACTAGTGCTATAGCTACTAGTATAAAGTGTTTTTATTTTATTTAGCTTAATAAGCTAATAGTGTACACTATAGGCAAGTTGCTTACACACCTAAGTTACTTACTTTTACTAAGACCCTACTAAACTACTCTTTTTATACTAATGCATTCTTAATAACACTACTTAAATATGCTAAAAGAATATTAGATATAGCTTATAACGTACCTAACAGGTTAGCTGGCTACACAGGTTGGCTAGCTACTTTTGCTAAGCCCCTACCACACTCTACTTATCTACATAATGCCTTAACAACAACACTAGATTAAATCTTCTAAAGAATGTTAGATATAGCTTACTTTTTAGGCTTTTAAATAAAACTTAAAACTTTTTTTATAATACACTGTAGCTATTTATAATGTCTTTTATATAACACTAAGTAATTAACGCGCTAGATAGCTTTTATAAGTAGAATACTAGCCTAAATTAAGAAATTTAACTAAGCTTAAAAAAAAAGTAGTTATTAAGTACATACTTAAGCTTATTACACACAGATTTCCCTTTAGGCTTATAGCTATAGCTAATATAGCTAATTCCTTACACGTAGAGCGTAATCTAGGCTAGGTTAGCTTAAACTAGCCTAGTATATAGGTTAAGCACTACCTTAAGTTTATAATAAAGTTTAATTATAAGTATAATTATAAAAGAGCACTTTATAAGTATCTAGAGGTTGTCTAGAGCTAGTTTTACCTAGTAGCTAACATAAAAGCTAAGTATAGTATCTAAAATAAAGACATGTATAACTTTAATAAGTTAGGCTTTATAATAAGCTAGATATTAACTAGAGTAGTTATTATAGCTTTAGAGAGATAAAAACAGCTAAAGGTAATATAGTAAAGTAATAAAAAGTAGATAATAGTTATCTAAAGCATTAATATAATTGTCAGATTGAAGCACTGTTTCTAGGCTTCCTGAGATGAATGATGGGTTTGGATATGATGTATGGGATGATTGATTGATTGTGTTGATTGTCTTGATTTATCGATCCTTTTTCTGCTCTACTCGTGTTGCTCGGCTTTTTGTTCTGCCGATCCGAGTCCCTCGCGCACTAGCCCTATGCGCGACCAGCTTGCAACATGCTGCAAAATGCTGCAATTTGCTGCAACATGCTGCAAAATGCTGCAAAATGCTGCAATTTGCTGCAACATGATGCAAAATGCTGCAAAATGCTGCAATTTGCTGCAACATGCTGCAAAATGCTGCAAAATGCAGCAATTTGCGGCAACATACTGTTCGAGCTTATTGCTCGTACTATGTAGCAGCTTTCGTCAAACGTTCCTCCTGTCTTGACAGTAGGTGCGCATATCTGACAATAATAAAGTAGGCTATTTTACTCTTTATTATTTTTAAGGGCTGCTATTACTTTTTTACTTAGTATAAAAAAAATCTGCTTTAAAACTAAGTTATTATAGTCTCTAAAAATAGCTAGATAATAAATAAGCTTAGGCTGCAGTAGTTAAAGCACTTTAATAAGTATATAAAAAAAGTTATAAGCGCTTATTAGCTTTTTATTATTGATAGCTATAAAAGCTATAACTTACTTAATTTCTAGCAGTACTATAAAAAGAATAAGATTATTACTATTTACATGTTTTTACACTTATTACACTTTTTATAGCCTCTTAATATAGGTTGTTTTGCCTCTTTAAAAAAGGTGTATAAGTGCTAAGCTAAAAATTTTATATATAACTAAATTACTTATATTATAAAACTTAAGTTTCTACTATGCTTTATACACGCCTATAATGTAGTAATTACTTTTAGTAATATTTAAAAAGGGTTTTAAAGCACTAGTTTAGTTCTATTTAACCTAAAATAATGTACTTTATAGGCAAGTTGCTTACACACCTAAGTTGCTTACTTTTGCTAAGACCCTACTACACTACTTTTCTTACACTAATGCATTTCTAATAACACTACTTAGATATGTTAAAGGAACATTAAATATAGCTTACGCTTTAAGATTTTAAATAAAATATAACACTTTTTAAGCAACACGCTGCAGCTATCTATAAGGTTTTTTAAAAGATAATAAGTAACTAACACACTAAATAACTTTTCTAAGCTAATTATATAGCTAACTTATAAAAGCTAAATAATAATAAAAAGTAAGTAATTATTTAGCACATACTTAAGCTAAATGCATAAGGATTTCCCCTCTAGCTAGCAGCTATAGCTAATATAGCTAATTCTTTACACACTAAGTATAATATAAGCTATATTAGTATAAACTAGCTTAATATATTTATTAAGTGTTACTTAAAGCTTAAAGTAAAGTTTAAATATAAGTATAACTATAAAAAAGCTTTTTATAAAAATCTTATAGTAATTTAAAGCTAGTTTAACTTTATAAAAAATATTAAAGCTAAGTATAGCATCTAAAATAATAACATGTACAACTTTAATAAAATAAGGTTTATAATAGGCTAGATATCTACTAGAGCAGTTATTATAAGTTTAGAGAAATAAGAATAGCTAAAAGCAGTTTAGCTAGGTAACTAGAAGTAGATAACAGCTATCTAGGGCATTAATGCTAAAAAGTAGGCTATTCTACTTTTTATTATCTTTTAGAGTAGCAACTACTTTTTAAACTAGTATAAAAAAAATCTACTTTAAAATTAAGTTATTATAATCTCTAAGCGCAGCTAGACTACTAATTAGCTTAGTTTAAACTAGTTAAAGCACTTTAACGCGTATATAAAAAAGTATACTATTAGTAGCTACTATTTGCTAGTTATTAACAGCTATAAAAGCTATAACTTACTTTATTTTTAGTAATACTATAAAAATAATAAGATTATTACTATTTATATACTTTTTTACTTATTATACTTTTTATAGCTACTTAATGTAGGTTGTTTTACTTTTTTAAAAAAAAGTGTATAAGTGCTAAGCTAAAAACCTTATATGTAACTAGATTACTTATATTATAAAAATAAAGTTTTTAATATGCTTTAAAGTAGCTTATAATGCTATAATT